AAAAAAAAAAGAAACACTACAGCAACAACACTGAAGGCAGAGGGGGGCAACTGAATGGTTCTAAAAAATTTCCCTTGGAAAACGATATCGCTAACCTTGATGCTAATACTGAATCAGGATCACGGGGTCCTTGATATTAATAGAATTTCCCACCTCTTCTTCATGAATCAAATCAAGGACATCAAGCCAGCAATTTTTATAACAAAAACAAAGCTTCTTAATTCTGAGTAGCTAACTGTTCACTCGTGTGACAATGTTCTAGGTATCATGTAGAGGGAGTTTAAGTCTCTAAATAGAGGAAACATTGATGACAAAATAGACAAAAATGGTTAGTTGTTAAAGTGAACATGATGGTTTAAGTGGTTTAAGTGACTCTTATACTCCACTTCAAGAAATCTAATTACACCCTGTATCTCATTGCAGATGGAAAAAAAATGAAGCACAAGAAATCACAAACCTCTAGCTTACTCTATCACGTGCTAAATAGCCAAAAATCATCCATCCAATACAAAAAAATGGAAAAATAAAACCTGCTCACATGAGGAAATGGCTGGAAATGTGCCATCGACAATACTACGAAGAGAGGTATATGATTTTGTATCTATGTAGCAATTTACGACAGTTTGACCCTGTAGATTATAAAAATATCATCAGAAACTTTCTTTAACAAAGTTATATGCAAAGTTCCTTCGCAGTTGACAATGACAGTTGACAACGTACCTTTGGGTTGACGGTGAAGATATTTCCTTTAGGTTATTCCAACCTTGAGGTAGCTGATCTTATCTGTTTCTCTGTTGCCAAAACCAGCATAGAAGGGATAGGATTCCTATCAGAAGGGAAGAAAGCTGTTCATCCTGCAATTTCAAAGTTTTTTTTTTTTGAATGATAACATACATACTGCAATTCTAAAGTTGACAGGTTATTTATCTGCATTTGTTACCATAGCTAAAATTAGTAATTACATCTTCTGCACAGCCGGTAATTTAGATGCTATGCTCCTTGCCCTCAAGAATTTGCTACATTGTTATTCCCAGAGAGCCTGTGAAAAACAGAAAGAAAACCATTGTTGCCTTTACGGTACAAGATGTTTTCCAAAGATTTTCTTTCTCTTATTAGTCATTATATCCATCTTGCAGTTTATCTATTTCATTGAACAAATCTTGATGTTTCCGCACAGCCATATTTTAAGAGCGGCATAAGATCAGTTAAATGGTATCCAAATCTCAGTGTATCGAATACCCACTTTGTACATTTTGAGCATTTGGAAATCTGCTGTGTTAAACAGTGTGTTTTCGTGCATCAAATTCGAATACCCATCTATTCTCTCTTATTCAGCACTAAATACCCATCTATTCTCTCTTATTCAGCACTAAATACCCATCTCTTATTCAGCACTAAATACCCATCTATTCTCTCTTACTCAGATTGTATAATCATTACGAACAATAACTCCCCTAAGCTAGCAAAAAACGAAAGATAGAACTCAACATAGAAGTAAGTCGTCTTTATTTCAGTAAACAGACAAAAGCACTCAATCTACTGCCAATCATCAATACGGTGATGCAATAGTCTGAAAGCCTCCCCAGCCTCATGGCTTACGCAGACGTGCAAACCTTCTTTTGCTTAAAATGCTAAAAAATTCTATTAAGAAAAAAAAAAAGCAAATCTGAATCAAGAAACTGACCTATAAGCAAGCGATTTTGAATTCATGAGGAGCTCTTCTAACCACAGCAAAGAGATTAATATTCTACTACTCAATCAGAGATGCTGCAAGTATATAGGTTTGTTAGGATCGGGAACTCGGGTAGTGCGGAATTTAGCCAAACAATGTTACAATGACAGTAACAAAGACAATGCAAGTTGATAATAACGACAATTAATGTAGATAAAGAAGACACCAATTTAATGTGATTCGGTCAGTATAACCTACATCCACAAGCGGAGAGGAGCAATTTCACTATACCAATAAGAGTACAAAATTAGAGTAAATACTCTAATTAATCCCAAATACCCTAAGAGAATAACCTCACAAGATCACTCCAAAGAAAGGGATCACACAAGTGCTTCACAATACTTAACTCTCATACAAAACACTCTTAATAAAGGAGGAGAGGAAGAAACAAGAAATAAAGACACAAGTCTTGTTGGTGTGTTTAAAATGAACCAATGGCCTTTCCTTTTATAGGCAAAAAAGCATTGGCCTCTTAGTTGTAAAAGAAAAGATACAACTTGTGCAAATGATATCCACTACACAATGCAATATTTTTGGGTCCCAAAGAATATTGCCAACAAAGACTACTTTGCAAATAGGCTTATGCTTATATGAGATGGACTCCACTAGCCAAAATATTGGCCATAATTACAAGGTTGGAGTTATAATGCAGAAGAAAATAGCTTCTTTCAAATGTTAAGTTCATGCGGAAACAAAAACATGAAATAGCAGCAAGTGAAACAATAATGCCTGTTGCATTCTAAATGTATGTTACTACTAATATGATTTGAGGCTTGTCGCCTGTAATACTAATGATCTTTCCTTGGCTATTGCATAGTCGATTAGGTGATTGTATGCAGCAGGATAGTTACAAATTGCTAAAATAAATCAAGAAATAAAAAAGGACATAAGAACATGACAGTACAAGAAAAGTACCATGCATCGCAAACCCACTTTGATCTTCCAGATTATTTTAGCTGGCCATTGTTCATCTACTATGTCTCCTTGAACTTGCAACATTTTATAACAGGATATAACAGAGAACTTCTCATCTCTACTGGCTGTCCACTGTACTGAGTCCTCCCTTTCTTCTATTATGACCACTGAACTCAACTTTTGAGGCAAAAGGTTAACATCTTCAATCTCCCAATCATCAAAATGACTTCTAAATTGCAAATTCCATCCATTTCCGGAATAACAATCAGAAATCCAGCATTCCTTGTTACAGCATTCCCGTGATGGAGCTTGCGACCTGAAAATCCAGATACTTATTGAACTCAGTACACATGGGTACGGTCAGAATGAAAATAAACGATTTTTGGAAATACATAGATTGACTAGAATGAAGAAGTAAAAAGTAACCTCCGCAATAACACGAGGAGTGACAATGAGACATTTTCTCTTTCATGTAGTCTGCAAAAATGCAGATAAAAATGCCACCAAGTCTCAAATGGACTTTGCAAGAATGTCCAAATTCCCCTGAGCTTCTGCTTCAGAAAGAATGCTACTAAGTCCATCGTGCAAAGTTTTTAAGCACATAGGTTTAGCCTCTGAAATTTGCTCTTCTTGGTGTAAAGGAGGAATCCAGAGGTTCACAAAAGCTTCCAACTTACTTTTACTTACTTTAATTCGTTTTCCTCCTGCATAGGATATTAACTCAGAGTTGGTTCATAATTCAAATACTTGCATTAGAATTTAAAAATGTAACTTAGGGAAGAACTTATGTAATTAGAAGTAATAGAAATTAAAATAGCATTTAATACGCTAAAAATATAAAATTGATTAACTTATTCTTCTAAAGCAAAGACTCGGAATAACAATAGAATAAACTACCACTACAAAGTTTTAAAAAAAAAATTATGACCTACAAAGATAAAAATATCATTTTGAATTGTTTGTTAGAAATAGATATATGGGTTTGCCAAGTTGAAGAGTCACATAAAACATGAATGACACACTTAGATATCTCGACAACCAAAAGACATACCTAAGATAGCTCTTGTATGGTTCTTTGTTCTCAAACCATTGACAAAGAAGCTAGCTAATATTGTTGAAAAGACAATCATGTTCTATGTGAAACCAGTAATAACTTTAGCCACTTCATTAGCCTTATCACACTCCCCTTTTGAACACAATAAAGCAATACAGGAATAGTAAGAATTGAAGTCGAGCAACTGGGCTATTTGAGTGTCTTGGTCATGACGGTTGTTTGATGCCTTCTCAGGCATCCAACTCTGACGTGATCTTGAGTCTATATCCATCTCTCCCCCATTATAAGGCTCTTCGATTTTTCCTAATAAATTCCAAGCTCCACACCCCCTTCTAGCAGGGAAAAACATGGATACCACTTCATTCAGAATAGTAACTGCCTCTTGTATGCTTCCTCGCTCACACAATAGAGAAAGAAAACTTCTAATAGACTCTGTCTCGATTTGGATTTCAACTCTGCCAAGAAGATCAATGACAGATTTTGATTGAAGCATCTCTCTCAAAATGCATCGGGATTCTTCCATCCTTCCTTTATCACATAAGCCTCTCACCAAGTACATGAAACCCAAGAAATCAGGTAGTATGCCTTTCATTTTGAACTCAGAAAAGAACCCAAGAGCTTCCTCCATGTCACCCTTCTGACAATAGCTGTTAAGTACTGCACTGACAGTGAATTCATCTGGTGTGAGGCCTTTAGCTTGTAAATCAAGGAGAAGCTTCAAAGTTTCCTGGATTTGACCTAACTTGCTGCATCCATCGATTAATGAATTGTATATACGATTACTCGGTCTAAGATTCTTCAGGAACATTTCCTCAAACAACCTCCTAGCATCGGCTAAAAGACCTTCTTTTGACAAAGCATCAATGAGTATACTATACGTGATTTCTGAAGGAACTATATCATTCCTTTCTAAAGAATCAAATAACCGAAAAGCCTCAACCATGCACCCTTGACGACACAACCCATTGATAACTGAGTTATAGGTTACAATATTGAAAGAAATTCCCTTATTCTTGGCAAAATTACAGAGATCTAATGCCCTGTCAATATTTCCTCCTTTGCAAAGGCCGTCAATAACAATTGAGTAGTCAACGACATCCATGAGAGGTAGTTTATCTCTCGCTCCCATAACAAGGTTATACGCATCCAGATATCGTCCACCTCTTGTCAGTGTCCGCAAAACTACAGCAGAAAAGGTCACCTCAGATGTGTCGCCTTTCACTATAGTAAGAAACCGAAGTGCAGTTTCTACATTTTTAATGCAAAGGAAGTACACAAGCATCTTCTTTGCCCTGTGCTCAAAAATCCCATACTTTTTTAGGAATGTTGTCAAAAGAAGTCCAGTCAAAAAGGTTTGGCCACCATACAGAAGAGATTTCATTAAAAGATGGTAGGATTTCTTGCTTAGAACAAAACCATTACTTTGGATCACAATTAGCAGATTGACTGCAGCCTGTAATAATCCTTTGTTGCACAGGAAAGAAAGAGCATCTTCACACATTGAACCAAAATTTTCATGCTTAACTCTTTCCAATCTCTGAAACAAATCTAAAACTCCCTGAGCACCCTTAACTTCAAAGATCTTTTTTATCAATGTCATATAGATCCTTGTACTTGAAGGCAAACCTCGATCAATTAGTTCAACGAATACTTCAATTGCTATGTCCGCCATGCCATTCCTACAGAGCCCTTGAATGGTGCAATTGTAACATGCAGCTGAAGGTATAGATGTCTTCCGAAATTCATCAAATATTTCAAGTGCCTCATCTATCATTCCTACTTTCAAGTAACCGTCAATCATGGCACCGTAAGTAACAGAATTGGAAGTGATGCCCATATCTGATAATTTCTTATATATGGCAAGAGCATCCTCAAACAATCCCATCATAAATAGGGCTTTTATAAGCAAGTTGCACATAGTAACATCCAGAAAAACATCAGCTGCTTCAACTCTCTTTTTTGTTTCTAGCATTCCCATGACATTTTCTTCTTGAATATAACCATGTAACAATGTACTATACGTGATAACATCTCCGAGGATTCCCTTAGACACATCATAGGCCTCATTCATCCTCCCAGCTTTGCACAATCCATTGATAATGGTATTATATGTGACAACACTAGGTTTTATGCCTTTCTTCTCCACTTCACCGAGCAATTTGAACGCACGCTCAACGTCACCCATCCTGCACACACCATCAATCAATACTGCATACACAAACTCATCTGCTTCAATCTGCAAATCCTCAACCATCTTAAACACTGCAAACGCATCAAGCACTTTCCCCTTCTTGCAGAATCCTAATACAAGTGCTGTTAGAGTAACCAAATTAGGTTGAAGACCATGTTTTTTCATCCTGTATAGGAACCCAACTGCTTTCTCCACATGTCCCTCCTTTGAGAACCCATCAATAAGTATTGTATAGCCTATTGTATCCAACTCAATTCTCCTAGTACACACCATCTCATTATATCTTTTTAGTGCCTCTTCAATTGCTCCTTCCCTAAAATACCCATACATCCAATTACTGTAAAACACAACATCTAATTCTAATCCATACATTCCCAAATTAGAAACCTCCTCAATTCTACCTAACCTACAATAAGCACTCACAAGTGTTGTGTAAGTAATAACATTGGGCTTTAAACAACCTGAATTCACAGCATTTTCAAAGAACTCAACAGCGAGCTCAGCCTTTCCAACACTCAAGAAACCATGAATCACAAAACTGCACACAAAATTATCAAATGGGTATTTAATTTTCTCATGGGCCATTAACTCTAACACTTGAATTGCTTCATCAATCCTTCCCCGAGTGCAGAAAGAGTGAATCAATGAACAAAAAGTGTAAGAAGAGAGCAAAATACCATCTTTCCCTGAGCAATCCTGCAGTAAAGAAAGCGCCTTTCCGGGGTTTGTTTGAGAGAGGCCCTGAATTAAAGAATCAAATAGGCGTTTATCTTTGTACACCTGGGTAGCACTATTCGATTTCAAGTGCTTAAGTGCCTCTTCGAATCTGTTCTCTTCGGCAAGTGCTTGTATGAAGATTATCCGGGTCTTGGAGTCAGCGTTGAATTGATTTGATTTGACTAAGTGAATGATGAGTTTGAATTTTTTGGAGCGAGAAAGGAAGAGGAGGAAATGGTTCAAGTGTTGGGCGGTGGGAGTGAAACCACTCTTAACTACAGAAAGAAGCGACGAGAGCTTCATCGTGTGCTCCTTAGCTGGACGCCGTTAGTTTTTACGTATTTTCGTCCATTTGCAGTAAGAGGTGGAGCATTTTAGAGGTGGATCAAAAAATGCTCCATTTAAAAGACACTGTTATAGTACTAATCTTTTTTTAAAATTTACAAATATTTTAATTTAATCTTTTTTTTATTTGATGATAAATTTTATAGTCAAACAAATATTATGCTATGTTTAAATTCATAATTGTCAAAAGTGTTATAATATATGTTTCAAGATTCAAATGTATTTATTTTTTCTTAAACTTTAAGTTGGTCAAACAATGTCACTTAAAATAACGGGGAAGAAGGGGCAAAGTAATAATCAATCAATTGTTGATGCAGAGTTAAACGGGCTGCTTAAACAATATGTAGCTAGTATTAGAGGCGGATCCAATATTTTGGCAGGATGGTGCACTATTAAAAAGAGGTGTATCCAGAATATAAATTTTACGGGTTCAACCTTTAGTTCTTACGATTGCGTACCCATTGCATTTTTGTAATTATAAGTTCAATTTTTTATTTTTTTAAATAGCAATCTTCTTACATCTATATCTATTTTTCATGAAAATATTGAGATCAGTTGAACTTATTGACTATATGCTACATCATATACTGCTACTAGTTTTAATATACACATTTTGCTTAATCATATAAGATTTTACAGCGACAAAAGAAAAATAGGAATTTCAATTTGTGAAAATTTTGAAAGAATTAACCAAACAAAAAAAGAAATAAAAAGAAAAAGTTCTTAATTAATATGCAAAAAATAACACCAGACACGTCCATCTCCCATGGGCGTCTACTTCTAGAAAAAAATAGGAAAAAACAACAAGTTTGACATAAGATTTGAACTCACAACCTCACCTAGAGAGGTACACTCAATAACCATCAATCATATAATACTTTGAGCATGGGTGCACACACATATATTTAAATATTTTTTGAAAAAAATATAACATTACTATATATGATTTAGGGCGGGGAGCATGGGTTCACGTGCCCCATGGAACCTCCCCTAGATACGCCCCTAGCTAGTATGTATTCTTTCTATCTTTTGCGTGTTTCGAGGCGATGTTTCTCAACTAATCAACAATACTGGTATTTTCTTTTCTTTTTGGTTTCTCACATGATATCCGCGTTGGAGCCCCGCTAAATTCACTAGGAATTCTCATAATGATATTTCACTCACGCTATCTTGATATAAATTGGTAACAAAATATAAGCTTATCCCCATAATTTGAATGCAACTTATTGTCATACAACTATTGTAATTATTCAGATCTTAATTTTGCTCAAACTAATTAAAACAAGAACATAATTCACTTTCTGAGATTGATGAAATTCAGTTAATTTCCGTGAGGCAGAAGGCGAACAGGAAGGCCATGCTTTGGCACAGGAGAAGCATGGAACACAATCTCCTCATCAGGAATAACCTTTTCAAGTTTAAACCTTTTAACCACATTGTGCATCAACACTAGTATTTCCAGTCGAGCATACTCTTTTCCAGGGCACATCCGAGGTCCTCCCCCGAAGGGTATAAACGTGTAGGGTGCAGGTCCACTTCCCTCGAACCTCGTTGGATCAAACTTTTCAGGATCAGAGAAGTATTTCGGATTCTTATGTGTAGAGTGCACTGACCAAAATGTCTGTATATAGAATAAAAATATGTCAATTTCTTACATACCACATAAAGCTAGTAACAAAATGATATATTTAATTTTGTACCTTCCACCCTTTTGGAATTGTAAAACCTGCATATGTACAATCAGTGATTGTTTCTCTAAAAGCTCCTTGAGCTGGTGGAGTTAGCCTTAGTGATTCACGAGCTACATTCCAAGAATACTTCATCTTCTCAATGTCCTCCCATGTTAGCAACTCATCTTCTCCTTTCAACTTTGCAATTGCCATTTGTTCTGTCATCAAACAACAATTGTCATGTGAATATATTTGACGCATAGCCTGTATGGCCAAGCTTCTAACATCAGCTTATTTTGAGAAGTCATTTTTCTCATAAGTACTTTTGAAAAGCATTTCTAAGTAGCAATATTTAATGTTTGGCCAAACTTTTAAAATATGCTTTTAAGTATATTTTTCTCAAAAATATTTTTTCTGCTTATCTAAAACTGTTTTCTTCTGCTCAAAAACACTTTTCCTTCTAAAAGCTTGGTCAAACACTACAACTTTGGGAAAAAAATTACCCAGGAGAAGTTTGGTCAAACAAGTTGTTAGATTTGTCAACCTATTTAAGTACTTTACCTATTTATGAATTAAGTATATAACATTTAGATTTTCATTTTCCAAGCATGTTTAATTTACCTTTGTAAACTTGATCATAGACGTGGGGAAGTTCAGCGAGGTACTTCAAAACACTAGTGACTGCACTACTAGTAGTCTCAAAGCTTGCCACTAGCATTCCTATTATATTGTTGGAGATCTCCATTTCACTCATAAACCGTCCATTTTCATCAGTAACAAGCAACATTTTTGACAACAAGTCTCTGCCTCCTGCTATTATCTCTTTATTCTCCATTTGTAATTCCTTTCTCCTCTGTGTAATGATCCTCATGAGTTCATCCCTAACCATTTTCCCGCCTTTGATAGCGCGATTATAAGCTGTTCCGGGCAAATCAATAGGCATAGAAAATATTCCATTTGTAACAAGAGTGAAAGGATCAGCCAACCTTTTTATTTCCTCAGGATTTACCAAATTCATGAACAATCGACACGCCAAATCAAATGTGTACTTTTTTGACAATGGAAAAACCTTGACTACTCCATTATTAGGAATCCAATTTTCATCTACATGTTCTCGGGCCATTGAATCCATAACTGGAATGTATTGTTTTAGTGCCTCAGGCTTGAGAATATCGTGGAGAAAACCGCGTTGTAAAGCGGATACTTCTTTCAATGAACTCTCAGCAAATTCAGGGAAAAGCAATGCCTTTTTCATAGATTGTGGCCACCAGGAGGTGAGAAGTTTGTTCTCACTTGAGAATAAGAACTTATTCCCTTGTGCACCACAAAACACAGCCATTTTCTCTCCCATTATTGATGTTTGGAACACTTGAGGTGAGTACTTTTCCATTCTATTTTTGATGAATTTCTCAGGACCTAATAAGGCAAACTCCATATTTTCTCCTAACAATGGCCATCCAGATGTTCCTGGCGGAAGTTTCTTGCTATTCGAATCGCGTTTACGGAGGAAGAAGATGAAAGTGAGAGATAGAGGAAGGAATAGCAGAGCTAATAGGTAAGAAATCATGGCTTCCTTTTCTTTTTTTCTTCTTCCGCTAAGGATGGGAGAAACTAAAAAGAAGTGAGTTTTTTGCTATGTGTTGGAGAAGTGAGTGTAGAAGTGTAGATATATATAGGATGTGAAGGGCTTAAGCTAATTGGACTATACCGAAGATAAATAAGACAACTTGAAGGATATATGATTACTTGAATATGAGAATTAAAGAAAATGTTGAAATAGTTTAATGAAATTTTTAACATTTTTTAGGCTTTAAATAAAAAAGACAAGATTTGCAGAATTAGGACTTGATTTATAAGATTCTCTATTTTGTCTTCTTCTGCCTTAGAAATATATGATATCAATATTTATTTTTAAAATCATAATGCTGTCCACTTTAACCATCAAATGGATCAATTTATTTTTGATTTATTCTTCATCTATTCTCGATGTTTTGGATCAGCAAACTATTGGTGATGTATGTTCTAGATCAAACGAAAGCCAATACAAAAATATTACATCAAGGCTGATTCTTTATGGGTTAAGATTTTCATACATTTCAAAAATAGGATTCATTTTTCTGTTTCTACTTAACTAACTACGATAACTTATTTTAGAACTTTTTTTGGTACCATTAATCTGAATTCACGCTATCTATGGCCCATTAAAAAGGAGAGTGCTTTCTCCCGAGAATTTTTTCATGTGCAGGGCTCGACCCGAGACCTCTGATTAAGGATAGAGCGATCTTATCCGGGAGATGCAGATAGGCTATATACGAAAATTATAGGATTTTGCATTTGAGCATCGATTTATTAACGGCCGTGAAACATAAGTGTATGTGTCCAAAATATAGTTTCAACAAGTGACAAACAAGAGCGGTTGCCGGTCGGCATCTTTTCTCAGATCGACCATAGAAATTTTGCCTCTACAGTATTAAATTCATGTTCTTGATTACAAAGTTAAAGGTGGAAAATGATTTTCACCCGTATATATGTCTATTAGTCCTCTGCCAGAGCTTAGAAACTTCTTCGTTCATCGTTGTGGTTTTGCTAATACCGCATTGATAGTCCACATTTTTCTCTCGCTTTCTAGTGTTAGGCTAGCCTTAGTTCCAGGCCTATACCTAAATTTGAGGGGCAAGTGCGCACATAGTCATTTTCAGCAATTTAGGACATTTTTGTCCTGAAAAATTGAATCAAAAAAACATTCAGGATGCAATGGCTAATTCCTAAATAACAGCCTTTTTAAAAGTGGCTACACGATGTTATTTCTACAAACTTGGAAGACAGTCATCTTGGGCTCGAACAGGTTTATACTTTGAAAAGCCCACCTTTCATTTACAAATTACGTACACACACTTTTTTTCTTTTGTTTCATCGTTTTTCCCTTTATAAGAACTACAAGTAAACATACCACCAAGGAATGTGGTGAATGATAGGAATTCCTCTACATTTAATCAATAGTCTCGTGTCCGAGCTTTGCAGATAAAGAATTTCTTAGTAAGGGTATTTTTCACCTTTAGCGGCTCTACGAAATCGAGAAAAATTCACAAGTAGAAGTTGAAAATCCAAAATCAATCGAGTTAGTGGGCTTCGCATATCGGACTACAAACAAACACCTTTGTACCACAGAAAAAGAAAGTTCTATAGATCTAAAATAAGAGTCCAAGTGGTGAAAGTATTACTATATAAGTTGTTTAGTATTATTTTTTCAACCTAAAGTAAGTTTACACTGACAAATTTGAATTGAGGCTTAGTTCGCTGATTTGTGCCAAAAACTATGTCTTTGTCATTTAAATATAAGTCACTTA